CGCCCGGCCGCAGCGCCCCCCGCCGCCCGGGAGGAGGCAGCGCCCCCCAACGGTGGGGCCCGGCGCCAGGTCCCCGCGCTAGCAGGGCAGGCGAGTTCCGAGACCCCAGGCCTGGCTTTTTCCTAGCGCTGATCCCCGCGTAGAGCACCACTGCCTCCTCTCCTTGGTGCCTGGAGAGTGAAAATACCCTATCCAAACTCTAAACCCTCATCGCCTCCCTTTTTCTACGTCTCCGTTCCAAAAGCTTCTCTTCAAAACGTCTGCAGTTGTAGTTTTACAAAAAGTTGTAAGATTATTGATTAATGTCTCCTCCACTAGGCTGTGAGCTTCCTGAAAGTGGGGATCTGTGTTTTCCCACACGGCTGTATCTCCCCTCTTCCCACTCTTCCTGGAACAGATGATAGGTGCTTAATAAAGCCTATTTGAATGAGTGAATGAATGAATAAAAGAACACTTGAGGGCTAGACCGCTGGTGGACCCTTCTGATAATTCACTGCTGTCGCTCCTTCCACCTAGACGGCCACATGAAGGAAGTCACAGCATCCCACTGCACTCTGGCACCCCGGGCCTGTTTCCTGAAGCCTGTCCTCCCCAACTTTTTCTAGAACTCTGTCACTCCACACCCTTTTCCAAAATCCTCTCATCAAATGCTCCTGCCCAAGAATTCTCATCAAACTAAAATTTCCTACCCCACCTCCCCCTGCCCCAAGACATTAGAAGTTTTGGTCACCCCACTTTCCCTCCTCAATACAGAGGAAGCCCTCAGGTTCCAGGACCCTTCAGTTTCACCCTGTCTCCCATCCTATCCCATCCCACCCACTGCCTGACCATAGCCAGCAACCAAGCACAACCCCCAGGACAGGCACATGGTGGGGTTCAGTAATTCCTTGATAGACAAATGGGAAGGAAGGAACACACAGGATGTTGACAACTGATCTAACCTAGTTTGGCCATTCAGCAGTCATCAGTTCTCTTGATAAATAAGGGAGATTGTGTGTCCTCTTTTCCAAAACCTCACTTACTGGTACTAGATTATACCAAAAGCAAGCACTATACCAAATGCTGCCAAACGTGTAATATTTGTTAGCTAGGAGACACAAAAACAAGATGTGACATGTTCTTATAGTTTTGGGGTGGGGAAACCCGCTTTGCCCTCTAGTAAAAGGGTCGCTTGGAAGCTAATGAAATGTTCCAGTGGCAGGCCAAGACCCCACATCTGGGCAAGGTGAATGAGTCCCTCTGAAGTGGCACATCATACAACCAGCAGGCTCCAGACCTCCAGTATGACTCTAGAGACATGAGGCTGCAGGGCTTGCAAGGGCCTTGGCTTATTCAGTCTTTCTAACCAACTACCTTAGTTGTCTCTGGAGTGTTGACCCCAGGAAACTTCACATGCTAACAAACCACCTGAAGGATATATATAAAAGTTTATACGGTTTATACCAAAGTCTTTTTAAAGTAAAGCACCACAGTCACAATGATTCAGATACACAAAGCTAACTGAAGAAGAAAAGGTCAGGAATTTATTCAAGGTCTTTTTGACCAGATCTCCTTAGTCATCAACCTCTTTACAACAGGAAGGGGAGGGTCAGCATCCCCTCACACGTTCTTCAAGTACAAAAACAGGAATTAGACTTAAAATTTGTCTTCATTTTTTCTGGAATCCCCAGTATGCAATTTTTGTCAGTTCCACCAGAGAGCAACCTTTCCGCATTTATGCCCCTACTTGGCAAAGCAATTGTCTCATCTCAGCATAGATGCCCAACTGCCACTAAGTCTAAGCAGAAACAACTTTTGAAGCTTTTATGACCCCCCAAAATACCCCAGACTCTGCAAAAGTGTCCCCACTTGAAAAACCTATGGATAGATCATTTTGGAATTACCAGAGAAAGTCTCTGGGATCTTAGGTGGGCATTCTTTGACTTCTGGCTATAAAGCTGACAACGGCGATGCTGAGGTGAGCCCTCCCTCCTTTCCTGGCCCCCCACCGTACAGCTGTTGGTCTAAAGTGGCCTTAGTCGGGTTCTGGAAAGATAGAACTTTCACTGGGGTGAAAGAACTACAAGAAGTGGCCTCTGGCTTCATGGCCCTGTCTTTATGCTGCCTTGGGAGAACTGAGTGTCAACTTTATGTCAGTGCAACCTAGGGGCATGACAAACACCCTTGCACCAGGCTAAGACAGGAAGCCTGATGATTTCCCAGGTTGTTCCATTAGTATCAGTGTGCTGTGATAGTTGGCACATCAGATTAATAAAGACACCCACAACCACATTTAAGTGCCTTACACATTCTGAGGACTACTAGGCCAGCACTGCGGGGGCTGGTAACAGGCACATAATAGAGGAGTCTGAAATAAATGTTTCCCCTTTCTAATAACTGAGGGGCCAGTTAATGCTGAAGATATCTGCTCCTCTTTCTTGGCCTCTACAGTACCTTACCTGTCCACTCCCCACTCTAGCTGGATCAAGTTCTGTGTGCTGTCTGCAGTCCTGCCAGACCGTAAAGTCTGTATATGGATCACCATCTTATCCCCAGGATCTGTCATAGAACCCATGCTCAATATTTGGAGACAGAAAAATGGCATAGTGCTATAGGTGCCTCCTCCTCTGTGGCTGTGTCTTAGCAAGGCTTGATCCCTACCTTCCTCTCTAATTATGTAGGGTCAGATTCAGGGATTGATGTGTTCCAGGCCCATCCTAGAAATGCAGACAAGCCATTCAGAACATCTGTTTTTCTTTATCAGAAGCTGGTCTGTGAAAGTCTTTGATGTTAGAAACTATCTTCCAAATTCATTTTTTTATTCTTTTAGTCACTAAATAAATCTGATACTAATTGTGCAAAGCACTGTGGAAGGCACTGTTGGGGAAATCAATATGTGTACAAAATAGATACTTCCATTTAAATATGTGTGTGTACATATCATATGTATGTATGTACGATGTAGCTGGAAGAGTGAAGGAAAAGAAAAGCTCGCCAACCAACCAACCAACCAAATACATCACATCACTCATATGTAAAAATCCTTTATTGTTGAGGAGTAGAGAGAGACGTTATGTTTTTAATACAGGACACTACAGAAACTCCCGGGGAATCTATAGTCAATGCCCATTGGGATTGGGAATAGTCAGTATACAGTTTCTACACAGGGTGTTGTAGGAAGGATGGGGAAGGATTCAAAGCACAAGAATGTTACGAAGTTGGGGAAGAGAAAGGGAAATAGGAGAGTATGCACCTGGGAATTGGGACAGGGGAACAGTGTCTTCATGATGCGGCCCAGCGGTCCAGAAGAGAAGTGCTGAGGACCAAAAAAAAAAAAAAAAAAATCACATCTTATGGATTCAAAGCACAAGAATGTTACGAAGTTGGGGAAGAGAAAGGGAAATAGGAGAGTATGCACCTGGGAATTGGGACAGGGGAACAGTGTCTTCATGATGCGGCCCAGCGGTCCAGAAGAGAAGTGCTGAGGACAAAAAAAAAAAAAAAAGAAATCACATCTTATGTCCTGTGACGCTCTCATCGATCACCCGCTGGTGGGGCTAGGGAGAAGAGAGAAGGGAAGTCTTAACTCAGTTTTCCCCAAACCCTTTGAATTAGAGGACTGAACTCTGCTAGCGGAAGGTGCTTGCAACTTCGAGCTGCTGTATTTGTCATGCTATTCTAAACAGCTGTGTGTTTTTGGTGGGTTGGGGGATGCAGAAAGATGTGGTAACCAAGTTTACAGCATCCTAGTACCCTCATGAGCCAGGCATCCACACAGTCCCATATGAAGCACCCTGGTGCTAATGCTCTCCCTGCCTTGGCCAGTCCCTCCTCTTCCCAGAAACCTCCCAGAAGAAGGACAGGTCAGGGGATCACTTCCTTTTTCAGCAGTTTCACATGAACAAAATAAGATGAACAAATGACCTGTATTGATCCATCTTGTCTAATCTCCTTTAAATGCTAGCCCCCAGGGACCTTATGTCCTATTCTGCCTGGTACCTAACAGATTGAGAATGCTCCATCAGTGATGAGATTATGAAGGCTGCAATCATGGACCTGGTCCCTCTGAAAGAGCCTGGATTCACCAGCAAACATTAAAAGATTTCCACAATGCACTTGTTTTTGCAATTTGTATAAAATACTATAGCAAAATTGCTCTGTAATTATCTTTATGGCCAGTGCATAACGCTGGAAGAGAGTATGTCATCCAGATATAGCTGCCTGTATAATTATCTGGCCGTTGGCTGGACTGAAATAACCATCTAATGAGAGCAAAATGATACAGTAAGTACCATGTAATCAGCGAGTTACAGTTATTACAGCTCTTTATGCCCTCTCACCCAACACTAAATGGGGGGCCAGACCCAGTCTCTGGTCCTAGGAAGTCACACACAGGTGGTATCATCAAGAGCCATCTCCTTGGCTTTTCAGCTGGCTACCTCAAGACCAATGAGTATGGGTAACAGTGACACACAGAGAGAAGCAGGAGTCTCTCTGCGATTATTGAGCCTTCCCAACCCGTCTCCCCCCCCCCCCCTGTCTTCTTTCTTTGGAAGAACTAAGATATGGTTTCCAGCTACTCCCCATTAGATTTCAGAGTTCCTTGCATTTTTTCCTGAATCGTCCTTGTATATGACTAACATCTAGACCTGGTGACCCAGGATTCTGAATAACTGAAATGTTCAGACTACCTGGGAGGCAAATGCTTCGTCTGTGAATTAGATGTGGTACCTGTAATTATCAGATAATGATCTCCCCATCTTTTGGACAGGTCACAAGAGAATGAAGTCCAAACAATTCCAACTTCTCTGAAGTTGCCCATCAGAGAAGCCCCAGGGGAAGCCCCTCTCCCCATCTTCTACCACTCACTTCCTCTATTCAGTAGTCATCTAGGGTCCATGATACAGGGCAGAGAGATGAAAAAGAGGATGGTGCACGTGCATGCACATGTGCCTCTGAGTGTCTTTGTGTTTGACTGCCAGTGGGCTGGGCACCGGCAGTGTATTTTAGGGCACATGTATGAGCATTAATGCCTGTAGCATCAGAGGAAATGCACAATCAGCAACACCCACACACATGCACACACACACGTACAGTCCCCTTTCCTCTCTCTAACCAACAATCCTTACCTCATTCTGCACTGGAGGGATACTTGAGGGTTCCAAAACTGGGGACATTCTTTTGATTCACATCAGTAGGAGTGTCTGGGGTGAAGTAAATAAATAGCGTAGTTAGGAGCAATCTTTCTGAATGTGACCTTCACCCTGACCCAACAGCAGAGGGCTGGCTATGAGGGGCAGCAAGAAGACGGATTTGGGAGAATGGGGAAGAAGCAGAACTTCCCTGTCCCTCCCTCCCAGCTGCAGCAGGACTATGAAGGTCTCCTTACTCTGCTCCTAAGGAGCACTTGGCTGTCAGTCCAAGCTGGTTGGGAGGAAGCAGCCAAAGGACCCTCACTGCAACTAAGAAGAGACCTGTCTTTCCCTCTGGTGACAAATACAAGGCACTTGAATTCTGTCATTTCCTCACTGCTACCCCAAACCCTTCCACTGTACCTCCATGCACTCCTACCTGGCTGGATGTTCCTCTTGCCCATGAGTCCCACAAAGAAGTCATGCATGTCACCTGCAGAAAAGGGCCAACATTGTCAACAGTGATGATGAGGGAACGATGCATTTCCCCAGACATGTGTCAAGACTTCTGAGACTGGGTTTCTGGTCTGTTTCTTCATCTTGCTGCAGCTCGACTCTCCACGGCTAGCAGGCATATCCCCTTAAGCCCAACCTCTCTGCCCATCTCTCCCTCCTCCACATTTCAAGAATTCTCTGCCCCACCAGGTGCCTGGCTTAGAATCTTCATGGCCACCAAGAGGTCCTCTTGGTCCCCAATGACCAGCCAATGGAGGTAGAGTCCACCACTTCCTTCATGCCTGCTTCCTCCTCAGTCCTGGCGGCCTCTCCCATTCAGGAAAGGCTGGCTGGGCAGTTACAGCTGGCATATTGTCTGTGCCCGCGAGAGTCCACCACTTCCTTCATGCCTGCTTCCTCCTCAGTCCTGGTGGCCTCTCCCATTCAGGAAAGGCTGGCTGGGCAGTTACAGCTGGCATATTGTCTGTGCCCGCTGAGATGGAGCCAGCCAAAATGGCCCCTTGGCCCCCTTCCCATGGACATCTAAGCAAGTGGTCAGCAGAGACAGGGAGGGAGAAGGGGCTACTCACGTTTCTGGGGAGGTGACAATTCCTTAGGATCTGTGAAACCAAGAACAAGTGTGTAAATGGAAAGTGAAAGCTGGAAAGGAACCATTAGAGGAGGGTTCAGATCTCAACCCTAACCAATTCACTAAGCCATGTCTTATCTCCCTCCCACCTGAAGGGGTCTCTCAGGCCATCTAATCTTCAGAATCTGTCCCTTACCCCCTCTCTCCCCAGGGCTGCTTCCTACCCATGCTAGCCTTGCTCAGCACTTTGAGTAATTCTTCCAGAGAGAACGAGCGGCTGTCATAGAGTCTCTGAAGCAACGACGGGGGCAGCTGGTAGACGTCCGAGTACTTCTAGGGGAAGGAAATAAAGAGGGCTGAGAAAGGAGGCTCACACCCAATCTACTCACTCTTTTTCCATAAGAAACAGCCTCCTCCTGAGCCTATCACAGCTGAATCCAACATTCTATTCCTTTCAGGATTTCCTCTGGTTTACGCTGGAAAAGAAGTGGGCACCCCAAGTGCAGTCTGTGGACCAGCAGTAGCACCAGCACCACTAGGGAGCTTCCGAGAAATGCAGAATCTCATTCTACCCCACAACTACTGAGAAAGAATCTGCATTTTATGTAGACTCCCCGGTGATTCATATGCACAGTGAGATTTTCCCTGGTGAGAGGAAAGCATTGGGCATCCTTGTAGTCTGGCTAACTGTCCTGGTTTGCCCAGGACTAAGGGCTTCCTGGGATGTGGGAATTCCCATGCTCAAACTGGGACAGTTGTTTACACTATCTCCCAAGCTCAAAGGGGTCTATCCCCTGGGGCCTCATCCCAGCTCCTGCCAACTCTCAGTGAGAAGAGCCATAGGTTCTTTTCTCCCTGGCATATCAGGAACCAGTTTGCCCAAGGATGTGGTTGTCTACTTAGTGAGTGAGCCATGAAGTCCCCCAGTCTCAAAAAAGGTCTGTCAGAGCAGGTGTCCTTTAGTCTGTGTTCCATGACTGACTCACAGATAGGACTCAGTTCTGGGGACGAGTGGCAGTAGGCAGCTGGGGCATACCTGCAACCCTGAGATTCCACCACTCTGTGCTATGTCCACGGATGTTTCTCTCCCTGTTTTTCCACTGCCTCTCACTGTCTCTTCTTCTCCATGGCTATCTGCCTCTGGTTTTCTCTACCTCTCTCTTTTTTCTGCCCTGGATCTAGGATCTCAGGAAGGCAATATGCTCAGAATGGTACCCTCTTTTCTCCCCCACAACTGAACCCCAGATTCTGGAGCTGCTGCCCAGCAGTGCTCTTGATTGTCCTGGTGATTTTTTATTTTTTTATTTTTTAGCAACTTGGGCACAGCAGGGCAGTGGGCACAGACCAAACACCCAGTTAATTGCAGCTGCAGAGACAATGATAGTGATGTTTGGCGATTCTCACCTTGAATCTCTCTCCAGAGCCCAGGCATCCTGGGGTTATTGTGCACACTCAGAAGTGCATTTGCACAGGACACAACTCCACACATAACTACCCAGTTGCCTAGGCACACACATCCTACCCTTTTCCTGCCCCAATTTCCCTCATCTCACAGACCCTTGGGGAGAAGGGATTGGATGGCAATCCTTCTCTTTCATTGACCAAAAGGGGCAGAGGGGACATCTCATTGCCTAAGGTCTTGCAGCAACTTTGTCTCACAAGAACCCGGGTACCCTGACTATCTAGGACTGAAACCTTGCTGCTCCAAACACAGGGTGAAGCCCATATTTGGCAGTCCCTGGGTGTTTTTTCAATGGGTTCTGGTCTTTTGGATCTGGTGCGACTTCTGCCACCTGCAAGGCTGCCCTGGTGATCTCTCTATTGGCCCAGCACGCAGCTTCCCAAGCAGCTACTTTTCCCAAATGGTTTGAATACTCAGCCCACCTCCTGTAATGAGATGCTAAACAGATTTGAGCTGGAGAGGCAGTTAGACTTCCCATACTGAATTTGTAATAAGTCCTACCTGTAATCATCTTAAAAGCATTTGTACCAATGTAATTACTATCATTTCAAAACCTTGAAGATTTCTTCCCTACTCTCCCCCAGTACCCCTACCCTGACAATTCCTATTCTTTTTTAAAGAGGAACTTTGGAAATCAGGACTCACCTGGTTTTTTGGTTTTTGTTTTCCTATCCTAAGCAGTGAATAGAGGCAGATAGGGGGAGGTGAGAAAAAGGGGAGGGGTTGGGATCTTAGAAGCACCTGAGGTTACTGGGAATGAATGAGCAGAGGATAAAATAATTTATTTAAATTTCTTTTCATTTCAAAAATAAAACACATGTAACTGGTAGGTAAAATAGCATACAAATGACCATCGGGGAGAGAAATTCTGACTGTATTTCATACCATCCAGGAAGTGGAGGGAATCTGTCCCCAGCGAAGGGACAGAACCTGAGCCAGCCCATAGAGGACCTTAGACCACCCCAGCTCACCCCTCGCAGTACCATCCAATCACAAAGTCACCAGTCAATCAACCAAACAGCAAATTTTTAGGGCACCTTTTATGTACAAGGTGTCAAAGACATGCAGCAAGACAGAGACAAAGACGTACCGAGACAGTGGAAACATGAGAGAACCAGAGAGGCAGAGAAATCCAAAGGGAGACAAATTCCCTCTGATGGATAACCCACATAACTCCCAGCCTGGCTTGCCTCACCTTCCTTCCTACAGCTGCCCAGACAGGTGGAGCCCCAGGTTCCCACGGTGTTCCCAGTACTCTGCCAGGGGGTGCCTTACCTTGCTGTGGTCCCCTCCAGGTGCCATCTGCTCCTGTGACTCCCCACAGACAGCCCCAAAGCTCTGAGGCAGGCTGAGGGCCAGGATGGCTATGAACAGTAGGGTGCTTCTCATGGTGCCTTGGAGGGCAAAGGGACAGGACACAGGGAAGTGGGGGACAGAAGGAGAATACAGTACAGTGAAATTCAGGAGACGCTCATGACCAGCAGCCCAGCTTGACCTGCTTCCTCAGCCTCCGCCCCTCCCCTCCAAACCCTGGTCTGAAGAGAGAGCAGAGTCTCTCTGAGCAGGGGTACATCCCTTGGGCTCAGTTTCCCTGATCCCTAATCGGACATCTCCGCGGATGTGCACCTGTAATGAGCAATGGTGCAATAGTGCCAGGGTACTCAGGCTCCTAGGGAAGGTGATAGATTTATAGGACATGCACTGGGCTGTTTCCTTAGTTGGCTTGAGGAGGGATCCTGGATGCTATTTTTAAGTACTAGATAACCCCAAGACTCAGGCAAAAACTTTCCAGTATGGAAAAAGCAATCTGCACCCACAAGCTCCATACTTAACCAGCTCTTGACCCTACAGGCTCTTTCTGCTCACCTTCCCAGTACCCTGCTCCCCTATGGTGAAGTCTGCCATCTCCTTTACTCCCTCCTAACTCTGGCTCCTGTCCCTTGGTGCCAGCTGCACTCCATCCAACATTCTCCCACTTGTGCCTACCTGTGGAGCAGCTCTGAGCCTGGCGCTGGATGGTCTGACAGGATCGGAGAACTGGCAGGGAGCACTGCCAGCTCCTACACACACCGGTGCTGCTGGTGCTTCCAGGAAGAGAGAAACAGATTGGAGGGGATGGGGAAGGTGGCAGGAACTCAGTCTCAGCTCTCTGATAAAGGCTCTAGGAGGGTCTGGGGGAGCCGAGGGGAGGGGCTGAGAGTCACCAATCCCAGGGTAGCTGGAAGGGAGGGGGAAGCTGGTGGGGGAAAGGAGAATGCAGACTGCAGCAGCCACACACACACACACACACACACACACACACACACACACACACACACACACACACACACACACACCCCACCCACCCCCACACACACACACAGTCACAGATCCTGCAGTGAGCTGGAGTTGTCCAGCAGCCCACTTTACAGCAGCACCTGAGCTGGGTACTCTAAGGAATGTTGTGTATGGTTTGTCACAAAATTTCCATGCAGGGTCTAGCTCAATAGGTGTGAACTCTGGACCTCTTTCCCCTCCTTGTCCATCCACCAGCTCCTTGCCCTTTAAATCTTCAGGTTTGACTGCCAGGCTAGAACAGCTTCAGGCAGGTGCCTCTCTTCCCTTGCCACCACCAGAACCACCAGGCTAGGACCCTGAGGACTGGGAGGTCTTCAGGTTTGACTGCCAGGCTAGAACAGCTTCAGGCAGGTAGGTGCCTCTCTTCCCTTGCCACCACCAGAACCACCAGGCTAGGACCCTGAGGACTGGGAGGTGAGTCTGGCGTCCCCCCCACCCCCAGCCCTCATTCTCTCTCTGTCCTCCTCCCAGCAGGAGCTGCCCCATCACATTGGCCCTCAGCCAATTGAGTGTGAGTACTTCCCCCCTGCTGTGGAATTCAGAGACTTCTACCTGCTGTGTAATGCAGTGTGTGCCTCCTTCCACCACCTCACCAGTGCTAATGCCTCTTCCCCTCGGCCTCCCCACCATGTTCCTTCTGACTCCTGAATTAGCCTGACTTAGTTGCATCCATCTAGAGCTCTAACTTTTATCGTCCTGCTGTAATCTCAGAGAGGTGGAACAGAACACGATGGCTGAACTGCAGCCCTACCCCGCCCCTGCCCCAGCATTGATCTCCTAATTGCTTCCCTTTTC